CTCCTAATGGGGGCACTGCGTCCTCCATTTGCGTTTACCATTTGCGTCTCCCAATGGGGGCACTGCGTCCACCAAATGACTGCGCGTCGGATAATTGTACTCACGTATAGTCGTAGATGACTATTTGTTAGGCCACTGTACACGTTCTAAGACTAAATGCTTAAGGCCACGTTTCCACTATACCGGATAGCATTCCGTAGCAGCGCGAAAAAGCACTTATCCGATACGGAATGTACAACTTTCAGAAGCTGAGCGAAACAACATCTCTCCGTTGCAATAATTCATGTCTGAAAATAGCGTTCTTAAAAGGTACGGATAGGTGTTCTCTCACGTCGCTACGAAAAGCTATCCATGTAAACGTAGCCAAAGTGTTCAGAAAAAATCCTTTTTTTTAAATGTCATATTTTACTTGGGCACTTGAACATATCCTGTGCCAGTATGACAGATGAAAACAAATAATACAAGGAAAGCTTTATGCATCTTTAATATATCTAGAATCACTTCTTAATTTTCATTTTTGACCCAGATAGCCTTACGCGTCTTGTTGTCTACTAAAATTTAGGTCTTAGGATTTCTATTCATTAATTGACTTAATTATGCTTTTAACAGTAATAATCCCATATCTCTCTTCGGATATATTATTTAGATTGAAGGAAACTTGACGTACTTGTGGCCAGGTTATGACGCAAATGTCTTGGTCCAATGTACACAGGACGTGTGTGGAATCACGAGTTTGCACTTTGATTTAAAATGGACGATTTTTTGTTAAATAACGATCAAGGAATTCTTAGATTTTTCGTTAAAAAACGATCAAGGAATTCTTAGATTCATTCATAGTAATTCGTGGGGACTTTGGTGGCGCAATCGTCAGACCCTTTTTGCCATTTTCCCGCGCGTTCAGTCTTAATCCGGGAAACAATAAAATGAAGGAAAATAGAGGGATTGCTCGCAGTCTATCAGAGCATAGCAATCGCCTTTCACCTATGAGATCGCGGGTTCGATTCTCGATATAGCTTGCTTGCAGCCCGAAATTTCGGACATATATGAAAAGAGTTTTATCCCACAGGGAAAGTTGACAGGGTGGGTTAGGATGAACATAGTTAGGAAAGTAATATCACAATCATTGTAAAAATAAATAGTCTAAGCTAAGTAGGTAATATAAGTAAGCGTAATACTTGACTTGATGTAATCGGTTCCTGAAAAGCCCCGATGGGAAATGAGCTGAATAATCATAATCAATGACATCAATCAGTGACATCAATCAATCAATCAATCAGAATTTTGAAAAAAGTTGCAATTTGTATGTATAGTATAGATAGGAGTCATGGACGAATCGCGCAATGTTTAATGAAAGATCAAAGCAAGTCAACAAGTCAGTTGGGGTACAATGTAGTACGTCATACTCTGTTATATTTGATTAAGCTATGGCTCAATCCTCAATTACATTTGCAACATTACGTGCTCGAGGTCATGAAACATTCGCAGATATGTTTCGTTTCAAAACATCCAGATCTGTGCATGAGACCATGTGAAACATCCACAGTTCTGCACGAAATACCAGTTGAATGGAACTGTCGTTATTGGAGGGTTTGAATTGCAGGATGGGGACCATAGTTGAATATTTAGTCTAAACATCAAAATATCAAAAACACCGTTCATTTCTGTTTAGACCCTTACCCTTTCAGACCCTCCATCAGGCCGGACTGACACTACGATTTCTGCAGGATACTAGCTAGAAATTAAACTGGAGGCAACTAGGGCTTGCGTACGAACTACGAAGCAGGTCAGGCCGACACTGGAAAGCAACTGGGGGTGAAGTAGGACTGCAGGAGCCAAACATTTCTAAAGCATTTGGCAGTAGACAATCGGATACAGTGGGTCAGTGAAGGTTTTAATATATTTTTTTCATTTTACATACAACTTGGATAGATTTTATATAAAACTGTTTTACACTCGAGTTCACATCTGTGAATCAATGAAGTGTTTTTCTGGAATTTGGAAAAACATTGTGATCGCTTCACCTGCGCGGGACGAGAAATCTCGAGTCGCGCGAGCACGTCTAGCTCACAGCAGAATCCAGCAAATTTTATTTTTTGCTACTCTGGCGAAAACAGTGGGCCAAAGCTGTTGCGGTATAATGGACGTTCTACAGTATCTGGCTCGCTCCACCCGTAAAGCAGATTTAAAAATGTCAAGCTGGACAGCTACAGCGCATGATCAAAGAGTTCGCTCGTCCCGTGCAGGCGGCTTTACGAGTTTTAAGCTTCATGTTTGAGGACAACAGCAAACGCAGAGTCGAATTTCATTTAACTTCTTTCTTTCTTTATATGTAAAAAGAATAACTGTACATTACAGATTTAACATAATAAGTGATTTACTCTTTATATTGCCTTGCAGCTGCGCTGTGGCAAAAACGACATTCCTGATTCCGACCATAAACGGAAAACGAAACAATTCCTAAAAACAACAAAACCATCCACAAAGCAAGTGGGAAACGTTTCTCTATTGTATCCTATCATCTAATGTACCATCATCAGGAGTCCAACGACAAAAGCAACTTGATTGCTCGGTTCTTGCATTAGGGTAACGTTACCGTCATGTGATGAGTTCTTCCATAGTCATAAGAAAATCCTGACAATTCGTTCTTGACTTCTACATTTCTACACCTTAGTTACCATATTGCTGCAGCAAAGTACTTGAACATATCTGATCATATTATGTAGTCACATAATTGTTCTTTTCTTATGCTTACAAGCAATGTTCTTGTACGAAAAGTAATAAATATTTCATATATTATCAATATATACATTTATCCTCCATGTTCTCACTATAACTAAGTGTTTGGATGTGACATCAAAACTTGGTCAGCATTGGTCACTTGAGTCTGTAGACTGGCTACGTCGACAGAATGCCTAAAACATTTACAAAAAAAACACACAACATACAGTTAATAAGCTAACCTTACATAGCAATTATCTTAAATTTTGCTCTCTCTCTAACAAGGCTCCCACTTTCAGAGAAAGACATTAAGCCCTTCCCATTTCCTTTATAATAAAGAAACATGTATATGTAATGGCTGTATTTATTAATTTTTTAATAGATAGATTTGTTAGTTTGACAGGAATTTCATGCTAGTTTTATTTCTCTAAGAGAAGCCCCCTCTAAAGGCCATGTTACACAGTGCAATTTTTCTTGCAACTTGCAATGCAATTCTACTCTTGAGAGATGTTAATTAGTGATATCAGTGAAGAATTTTCGATATGTTGAGAAAACACATACACGGCAAAAAACGCACAGGTTGATGCAATACTGATGAAACAGGATTGAACAATGTTTTGCTGCCCACATTGTTCATAGCTGTCAACAACATTGAACAATATTGTTACACCCGATTCAGGCTCAACAACATTGTTCAATATTGTTGACAGCTATGAACAACGTGGGCAGCAAAACATTGTTCAGTCCTGTTGAGCAACGGGCTCGGCGTTTTTTGCCGTGTAGAGAAAACATCAGCGGAGTGTAATAAAGACTGGTATTTGGCAATTTTACATCTCTCAAGAGTAGAATTGCATTGCAAGTTGCAAGAAAAATTGCACCGTGTAACATGGCCTTAACAGGGGAAAAAATGAACTTTCCATTATAGACATTATAATATGGGTTTTTGAATGAAAAAACTGAACTCTTACTATTATTGGTCATTATAGATTTCCCATATGGTAAATTAATAAAAAAAAACATGTTTAATACTTACCATTAATAGTACTTTATTTGTTTCCTGTGCACAGGAAAATACCAATTGTAAATATTAAACATGGTTTTTACTAATTTCCCATATATGGGAAATCTATAATAACCAATCAGTTCATCCATTGATAGTATAAATGGTAAATCATTAAAAGTCATTCAAAAACCATTAATGGAACTTTAAAAATTTTCCTTGTGCTTCTAAAAAGCATCCCTAAATGTGTCTGCAATACTCCTCTTCATGGGGCTCAATAGAGGATTTATAGTATCTCTACCTGCAGTCAGACTGGATGTCAGTGAGTCAGTCTATAGTGTTAGGGCTCATTTCCACTCAAGAAAGTTTTCCGCAGAAAGAAAATTTTGTAAAATGTGATTGGCTGATACAAATTTTCCGTCAGAAAAACACTCTGAAGTTGAAAATTTTCAACTTTTAACAATGATATTTTCGGAAGATTTTTTGTCTGTGGAAATTTTTCTTGAGTGGAAATGGGCCTTTAAACAGATAAGCGTCAAGGAAACTGGGATTAGAAATCTATTTTCAGAATAAAATTACTTATAACTTAACATATTACTGATTAATCATGGAGTTGTTGACTGGCAAAGAACAGGCTAATTAGGACATTGTGTGAAATAAAATCTATAGGCTCATAAAAACGTGCTTGTTCACAATTCAGTCTGAGATTTCTCCAACGTTGTGGGAAAGCTGACAATTGATATACTTACCCTTCTGTTCTGTTTTGGTTTCCAAGCTCAATGCTCGAAGCATCATTTGCCATGGTAGGCATATTAAGGTCTCCAGGTTTTGTAACAAACCTACCGCCGCCACTCCGCCGCCGCCGACATGCGTGCATGTGCCGAGACTCATGGAGGTATTTCTAGGAAACAGTTACATAGAACTTTAAAACGAATACTAGTTAATAAATTATTCACTGAAGTGGATGCTAATGTCACATGACCTCATGTGTCAGTGTCACACATACACAAATATATTTCACTTTGATTTTGATCCCAATAAAAACACCTAACCTGATTAATGTAACAAAACATGATGATAGAACCATTGTTTGCTTTATCTAATGCCAGCCTCTTTATATAGGTCCTTATACGGTACTCATTAAGGGGAAAGTGTTTTATTATTCATAAGGCTACAAATTGTGTACCTTTCGTGTCTTGGGAATTTTGCCTTCAGCTTCAAGTTTCGCTCTTGCCTGTCGTCGTTTGATAATTCTGTGGTATTGTTTCGCATTTACATATAATGGTTCATCCAAAGTTTCCATGGCAACCGGCAGACGTTGTGCAGCAAGAGGCTATTAGAAACATACCGAATATAATATAAGCTATGTAATAAATAGTGAGAGCTTCAGAAAGGTGGACTCTTACGAGGGTCCACACCGAGTCATTCCAAAAAATCATCCACACCTTCCCCATGGAGGAACTGGAAAACTAACCCTTCTCCTCCTTTTGGTGCCCTAGTTTGTTTACTATTATCAGAAGTAGATTTCTCCATCCCATACGAAGCATGAAACAGATGAATTGTACAATTTCTTTGTGTGAACAAATGGAACTGGTCAAATTTGGTGTGTGTTCAATTCCTTGAGTTCACAATTTTGGGTTCAATAATGGCATTGGGCCTAAAAAAATATCTGTGGTTCCTGTTTCATATCATGAAAAAATAGGGTAGGTAGGAAATAAAATTTTTTTTTGCATATTTTTTTTCATGATTTTGGCTGGGGTTTTTTTGCTGGGCAATTTTCAGCAGCCCGCAACCACCTGGAGAAAACAGGTTTGCACGGTCGATTGCATTGAAAAAATAATAGGGTCAGCAGAAAAAAATAGGGTCGGTCAGGAAACCGGAACCACAGTATTTTTTTTAGGCCTTGCGATTTCTGGCTAACAGGATACCATCTAGTACCGGTAATGCTTTATATGTTATCTATATATTGTTCCAAGGAAGCTGTTCACATTTGGGCCAAAATGCTTCACAAATGAAGAAAAAAACTACCTGATACCAGGGTGTTAGCTACAGTCAAAAATTCCGCGTTAATTAAACGCGGTTTTCCCAATTACCTTGAGGTCGCAATTTCCCAATTTGGGTCAGCAAAAAATAGTTATAGAAATTCAATGTTGTTAATACGCCATTAAAAACATGTTTATAACTACATTTGCCCAAAACTACTTCCAAAATGCGGCTAAAATAAATTTCCCAATTTCAGGTACAAAACGCGGATTTTTTTACTTCTGGCGAACACCCTGGATATAATGCATACTTTAGACCCATCATTTGCAGCTGTAGGCGCTTATTGGAATATGAGCAACGTGTGCTTTTATAATGGCCTCCGCTATCATTAATATTTTACCTCTTGATATTAATATTTTTAAATTTTACGTCCAAATATTATAAAACCCTGTAATATATCTCAATGAAGGTTTCTAATCAAGTAAAACTTCCCAATTTGTGCAACGTATAAAAAAGTAGAGGTTCTTTATAGGAACTTGTAGATTTTAATACGAGATAAACAAGAAAGCAATTTTTGTTTGGCCAGCTGCCACACAGCCTATATACGTATCGCACGACACAAAGAGTATAAAAATAATGAAAATGACTTAAATTTGTGCACTAAATTTGACTCGATTTTTATGATTCATCGCTTGATGAGAGCAAAACAAAGATCGTCCAATGAAGTTTAAGACGGACTTGGATTGGTACATTTCACACAAGGCGACATTCGACCAATGAGCGAACATCGAAGACGAAGCGAATGCCTCGATTGGTTCTCCGATTTTGGTTAAAATTCTTTAACCTGTTCCATGTTTTGATTACAATTCAATAGAAACACAACGTTTGGCTGTCTGGAGCTGTAAAACTGTTCAAAACATAGCCATTTCTTGCTGAGATATAGGTTCTTAAACTCGAAGACGAAAGAGAATGTTCGTTTTGAAGTACTTGTCTCATGCGGGCCTTTGTTTACTACGTGAAAACCGAAACTTTTGATAGGATATATATAGGATAAAACAACGTTTACAGAAATATAGGATAACAACATTTGTACTCACAACTGTTAGCTGTGGGTTACCGTTCGGGATAGCGCTTGTTGTTAGCGTTCCAGTGACAGGATTGTATTCCACAGAGTTGGCAACAAAACGCTGATCTGGGGTGAACATTTGGATGTGTTGTGCTTGGCTTGGGTCAACGATATAAGTAAGGCCTTTGCTTTGGTCTTGTGTGATGAGGTTTACTGCTGTAGGATGACTAACTGTTGTTGTCTGGGCCGCAGTTACTGTGCCTGGCGGGGCAAAGTTGATCTGAGGTGAAGATGCAGTAACAGTCTCCATGTTTTATATACTTTCGTTCGAAGTTTTTATTCGCCAACTCCCCGAAGGCATCACATGGTACACACGGCGCATGCGCGCCATTTTCCTGTAACTAAATTTTAAAAAATTTCGAATAAAAGCTATTATTTTTTCAAAACCATAGTTGCAACCGAGGTTGCCGTCGTTGCTTTACTGTAATAAATTAATCATTGTTAAGTTTGCATTCTCTATTTTTATCAATAACAATATGAAGAAGCTGTGAAACTCTTTCTAGCTGCAAAGGGTGCAGTTTGCCTTCCTTAATAGTTCCTTGGAATCCCTGAATATTAGGGACCGTTCATTATTTAGGGTGGGGGGTGACACCGAAGAGAAATGTTTTTCTTGGGAAAAATTTTGCTGACCCAACCATTAAAAAGTCAAAACATTTGATTACCCACCCACAAATATCAATTAAAAAATAAATACCCACCCCTGGCCAAAAACTTTACAAAAGGATACCAGTCAGTTGTCACATGTCCTGGTGTGACATGAGTTTGATAACGGCTTGTGAAAGTTTCTGCAGTCTAAAGTTTCTTATTGTCTGCACAGGTAGTTTCTTTGGAAACACCACTTGCCCAACAAATCGGAAAACGGTCAAGATAGTGACTCGGATCACTGTTATAGAAATGCTCTGATTGATTCACATATTGTATTGACATATCACTGTTGACATTGCTTTTCAGTTTCCAGACTCCAATATTTCAGTGAGTCATGCTTTGGAAATGACAATATTTTTTATTACCCAACCCTTGGGTTGTTTTGTTTTTCATTTACCCAACCTTTTACTTACTCAAAATTTTGTCTTCTCAGCCGCAGGGTTAGACCAGCATATAATGAAGGCACTATGCGCACGGCACATGATATGCCATGCAGAAAGGCTGCCCTTGGTGCACAGAATTTGTGTACAAAATACTTCAACATCTGAGTTTGGTGCACACTATGGCTCAATGACTACAGACATATTGTTTTTGCTATCAGGTAGAAAAGTATTTGCTTAGCCAGGGGCGTAGGAAGCGGGGGGGCACGGGGGGCACGTGCCCCCCAAAATTTTTTTAAAGGACTAAAAGTGCCCTTTTTGTGTTGAAAAGTGCCCTTTTTTGTGAGGAAAAGTGCCCCTTTTGTAGAAGCTAATGTCGCTGTAAATACTAAATTAAAACAATAGGTGCCGTTTTTGTGTGGAAATTTACAAATTTTTTTAAAAATTAGGTCACAAACATAAATTTCGGTATGATACGACGGAAAATTTTCCTCAGGAGAAATTTCTCTACAATCTCCAGGTGCTTCCTACGCCCCTGTGCTTAGCCCAGATTTTTATACCGTCTGCTATGACTACTTACAACAACTAAACAAATGGCAAATTCTTGCCTTATGAATTTACAAGATTACGATGAGTACTAACTTCGCCCATGGCCCACGTTCATAGATCATGAGCCCTTGTCCTGTGCAAGGCAGATAGTGCACAACAGATATGCTACATTCCATACTTGGGGTTAATAGATCCGCACGAAGACCCTGGGACAAGGTGACAACAGTTGGATCTGTCTGCAGCAAGTGATTTCGTTCACGATCCTAAATGACGACCTATCAGGAAAATATCGGGGATAATTTTTCGGCGGAACCATTTCCGACGCTTATTTCCATTGTTAGGATTATCCGTGCATGCATGGATTATATATCAGCAGAGTGAGAAAATGAAGTTAATTCTAATCATTGTATGCAGCACCGCTACCAGGAAATTTTCCTACACCTCGCAGGAAGTTTTTATCTTATATACTGGAATGCCATATAATTTACTTATTGCTCCAAAATTCCAAAAGCGTTTTGCAAGTCGAGCTTGTCTTGTACCGAGATATATTGAAGTTGCAATTGATCACAATGCCGGTGCGGCACCGTAGTTCTCTGAAATCTACAGTATACCGTACATATGCAGGAAGTTTTAATTTGACTAACACAGGAAATTTTTATTTTTGATCCTGCTGCCAGGTAGAGAAATATATTTTCTACGCCTGGTATCTAGCAGTCGAATATCGGTGCCAAAACTTCTTTAAAAACACGAAGACAAAGTAATATCTTCACAACAACAAATACGAGGGGTGAATTATGCTCTGTCTCTAAAGAGTACGATGATCTCTGCAACAATACCCAGGGATTTACTGGATTTGGCAGATTTTGGGATTTTTCGAAAGATTTTTTGTTTTTAGGAAAGTGTACGAGGATTTTTGGAGTAATTTACCACTCCATATCTTGCATACATGTACAAATAAATTCATAACCTCACACGTAAAGTTTTTGCTTTATACTGAAGTTCATTTACAGATATTCCAACAAACTATTTTACATTTCAAGGTACAACAAAGTAACATGTAAATTATCTGTATATCATGCGCAATATAGGTGCTTAGGAAAATAACATCAACTCTAGCGACTTAACGTAACACTCCCCGTCAATTTATAGATTTTTTTCTAAAATACAATGTGCTTGCTTATTGGCCCCTCAAAGAACTATAGAATTGGGTTTTTTTTTAAGAAAACAGCCAAAAATTGGAGAAATGGGTAGGACAGTCTGTTGCACTAATACAAGTTTGTCTCTCAACCTGGAACTGAGGATGTTAAATAACTGGCCATAAACTGTAGTCTAGTGCTCATGTTCTTCATCACAAAGATTGTCAATCGCGCTAAAAATGTTTCAGTTACTTCTTACGAAATCAATAAAATCCAATAGAAAGCATGCATATAGTTTTATATACATAGAGAGATATCACATATTGTAATATGTAGTTAGTTGACATAGTCCAATGGTCTGTTGAAACCTCCACGTCTGTTCATGTACTGTCTATAAGAAAACATTGCACAATGTCATATAAATAAGAGGGCCCAGGTAGGGGGAGGGGGTGTTCTGAAATCAGTAAACGGTAAACATTTTCGTATTTTAACGGTAACAATAAGTAACATTTCGGTATTTTAACGGTAAATCTTTGAAAAGTGTTGTGAAACGATAAACAGTGTTTTTTCCCTCACGATTCACGCTAAATTTCTAGTGTTTTCACGACTAACGGTACCCAAAATTGAATGAATCACGACTCACGGTATACCCCATCAACACCCTCAAATAATTAACGGGCCTGGCATCCGGGGCCAGGTAGTACTATCCAGTATCCGCAGGATAGTAATTTTTTTCAACCGCTGTAAGATTGTTTGAAAAGTTCGGAAATGGACATTACAATTAATAAAACTGAAACTTTAACTTACAAGTACTAAAGTTTAAATCCGGGTTATACCAACCAACAAACAATTTTAGAAAAGTTGAGAAAAATCACCATCTGGTGGACATCCTCGTCCCCAGGGCCTCTCGGCCGCGCACGTCCTCCGTAGGCCCTAGGACACCAATCTCGTTCCCCGAGCCTGCGATCCTTTAATTGGGAAGGAACCGAAGGCTCTGGGATAATCCTGGCTAAGATTGAACTACGCATTCCATTTCAATGGCAATCAGATTCCTCCCTGAAACGGATTATCCCAGAGCCTCGCGTTCCTTCCCGAGGATCGCAGGGTCGGGGAACGAGATTGCTAGGACACAGAACCGGAAGAGCAAGAAAACTTGCAGTAGTTTCTAAAGCACATGCTCTTGGTTTGGGACATTTTATACCGTGACAATTTTCACAGTAAAGAATTACAAAGAAACGAAGTATTTGTGTTGACATATTTTGATAGAAAAATTTTGCCTACTGAAAACTGCTCAACTTCTGTGAAATAGCAGTTCTCTGAGAAGCCAATCAGATCTCTCCCTTCAGTCGTCTAACCCAGAGTCTAATTTTCAACGAGTGAAAATGGCTCTGGGGACGAGAAGGTCTGGCAGATAGAATTATCCATCCTTGTAGTTGTACTCACTAAGTCAGGGCCTTTTTCTGAGCAGGTGGCCATGGCACCAGAGTGTGCAAGAAAATAGCCTGGGTATTGAGGTTGAGAGAATTATCCAGCTTCCGTCGGCCTGGTGGTCAGCTTTAGAAATGTTAACACAGATGGCGGATATGAACACCAATAGATTCTACTCCCAGCTAAATGAAATTGTAATATTTACCTGTATTTTCTCGGTTTGGTTATATTTACATAGCTTGTATTTGCTGATCCAGTGGTAAACTTTCCCTAAAGATGTAGAATTGTGGTGGATTAAGTGTAATCCATCTGTACAAGCATCCCTTTAATGCCGATGATTTTTTAAATCATTAAATAATACATTTACAAGGGTAAGTCAAATTGAAATAAAATTAAGGGAAAAGTTTAGATCAACTTCAGTGACATGAGATTTATAGTCTTATACTTTTTAGGTTCGGAGCATGAAAAGTTCACCATCTAAACCGGGCCTTAATACTAATTCACAACAACATACTTTTGTTGTATCAAATTTAGAAAATCCCATGATTTTTTTCATCTCAATGCTTTCTTCATCTTCTGGCTCCTCTTCTAAAAAATAAACACAAAATTGAAGAAGGAATTAATGTTTAAATTTCACATGTTGTTATATTCATAGAAATATTTAGAATGTATACTATAAGTAGCCCTGGACACAGTTAGTGTTCCCTAAACAGTTACAGTGTTTACACATTAAAATAAAGGAAATAGAAAATTAGAATTATAGTTCTTTTTATATTTGGACACATATATTGTACCTTCTTCTAATTCCATACTAGCTTCACCTTTCTCATCATCTCTGTCAATACAAAGTAATCAAGTCACCTTAGTCATATGCAGTGTAGAATAAGAGCAAAGGCTTGCAACCTGCTGTAGTTAAAAAAGGAAGACCTCAAAACACATTACCGAGGTCTGTCCCTTCTGTCTCTGTCATCTTGTGGTCGACCGCTATTAAAACATCAGAATTAAGTAATCAATACGCAGGTATTTGCAAGGAATGAGAACTTACATTCAGAACAGCACTTTATAAGTCTAACATAAAAATGAAAAGGTGAGATATAATGAGCATGGTTGTACCTAAAAGATGGCTTTCTTCTTGGAGATCTGGATCTGAAATTATAGTTTGGAATTCAGTGGTGCAAAACTCAAGATGGCAAATCTATCTATTTACTAAATATGAGGTATTTCCCCTAGCAACTAACTGCTGGCAAGTCAAAGGGCAGCAAAGCTGGATATATGAACCAGCAAATGAGAAGCGGCATGAAATCACAAATTTCACTATACAAGACTTACTAAATAGTGTTTTGTAACAGCACTATTTAAGTTTTTTAACAAGAGAACTTCTTGTGAACAAATGTTTGAGAGCAGTTGGATGTAGATTGCCAACAGACCAGAAAACCGGGGTAAAAAATGTATGTATCTGATTGAACAGATGCACCCAGTGACGGAAATATCGGTGGGGCAGGGGGGGAGACCACCCCCAACCTTTAAGGAAAATTGACGAATTTTCGAAAATTTTGACCTGTAAAAAGAGGGCTAAAAACAACCTTTTTGAGTGCAAATGGGGAGGTTTGTCGGAAATTTGAAGGTTTTGTCGGAAATTTAGGAGGCTTTGCCCCCCCCCCCTGGAAAAAGCAAATTTCTGCCACTGGATGCACCCCAATGCATCATGCACGCCACATGGGAAATGATGATGATAGTACAACTTGCCTTGATCTTGGTCTTCTTGGCGACCTTGACCTTCGTCTTGGAGATCTTGATCGATGTCTTCTTGGTGGTGAGCGACTGCGGCGTCGTTCTATATCATTCAAGGTTTATTATAACAAGTTTATTTTAAATCTTAAGATTTAGTCAGATGAAATACACTCAGATATTATCATTTGGTCTTTATATTTATATAAATTTCACATCCATGTCCCACTATAGAAAGTTTGTATTGTGCAACAAAGATATCAGGCATGCAATTTTGATGTTTCCTATATATTATTTACTGTTAATTTTTTGAAATCTCTCAGGAGTGCAAACTTCCAAGTCAAGAGGATATTTAGTCAAATACCAAAATCATCTCGTCTTCTGTCTTTGTCTCTAGGTGGATCTTTGGATCTGTCATCATCTTTCTCTCGGGAACGTGATCTCTTTCTTTCAACTATTGTGAATATGTGGATAGAAAAACTTTTAGAAAAGTGCACTAGATTCTCCTCATGACGAGTAAACTTCAACAGTAAGCTGTTACTAGGGAGGCAACCATCCAACCCCCGGAGCAATTATAGAATACCAGACCAATTCAAAACTTCAAATTATGTTGTTCAGTAGAAAAGATAAATCCCAAATTATTTAGTGCCTGACCCATATCCAAACCCTTCCCTAAGCCAGACCGTGGTGACCGACCATTTCAAGTTATTCAACAAAATTCGATAGAACTATGTATTGTGGCCACATAGTCATGTAACAAGCATGACCTGATGGACACTAGGTATTCTATAACTGTACCTTATAAATTTGATAGGATTGCTGTTTTTATCCATGTCTCACCAAAATATGAGAGTGGTGTACACTGATATCTAGCTGTGATTCTGCTTTATGATGGGATATAGGGGGACTTTTGATTTTTATTAAACAACAACACATGCTTGGGAGGGAGGTATACACTATATGACAACATGGACTAAGCATTCTTGCCTATAAAAATTTCCACTTTCGGCACATAAAATAGTTTCCTCATAGCTATACATTACCTCTCTTGGAGTCTGGTGAACGACTACGACTTCTGCTGCGAACCATTTGGGAGGAAAAGGAACAAAATTTCACAAAATTGACAAAAGCACGCTTTGAAAATGAACCTCTTGCTTGTTTTTAATTTCACTAGTTCCCAGGCGCTTTTATACACGGCCCCGATCAGAACCGAGAATTGTAGTGACGAACGAAGCGACATGCAGCCGAGTGTTTCACTAATTTCATGTAAAGGGTATTGATGGGGTATATCGTGAGTCGTGATTCACTCAATTTCGGTTACCGTCAGTCGTGAAAACTCTACAAATTTACCGTGAAGCGTGAGGGAAAAAAAATACTGTTTACCGTTTCCGAACACTTTTCAAACATTTGCCGTTAAAATAACAAAATGTATACTGTTTCTGATTTTCAG